TCAAACATATCTCATCAGCCATTATACCTATCTATCAGTGATTGATTATCCAATAACCTATATATCGTGGGCGTACAAGCAGAATCCTGTAAGTCCACTTTTTTCGAAAATGAGGAATTTATCACACATAAGTCCATATTAGCGTAACGCTCCAGGCAAATAAACATTCAAGTCCATTTCGCGTTTGTTTCCGGAGATATAGTCAATGAAAATCCACTTAAGTCAATTTCGTTATAATTTTACAGGTTGATTCGAACATTCAATTGCGTTTCTCTCCTTATATTATTTTCTGGACTTACATGATTCTGCTTGTACGCCCACAATATCATGTGAGTAAGTCGTTCCGTCGTTGCTGTGAAAAAGAAATTACCGAAAATTACCATAGATATACGTCATTCGATGTTTCAATTTGACAACAATCGCCTATTGTCTGTAATCAGTGTCAGAACAATGGAGATATTGAAAACTCAGAAAGAAAGAGATTTACTGAAATATGATGATTATATAGATATAGACGTGATAAAGTACACAGTCATTCGGAATCCTGGAGATGTGTTAAAGCTGCCTGCAAGGGTAGAATGGTTGTAACTCCCGGAAAACCTAGAGTAACAAATAGTCATAATCACGGCCCTGATTTGGGAGAAAATGAAGTTCATATGGTGAAGAAAAGAATTCGCGATATTGCCAGAAATACCGAAGAGAAGCCAAGAAATATCATCTACAAGCGGTGTTACGAGAGAATCTTCGGTCCTTTTACCTGCATATGATGCTGCCAGGACACTCATACATCGCCAACGTTGTAGCAAGGATTCGATATAACCAACCTTTAGTTCCGTGAAGGATATCACTATCGGTGAAAACTACAAATTGACCGAAAGAGGAGACAATTTTCTACTGTGGGATTCTGGCATAGAAGGTGCTGATAGAATATTTATCTTTGGAACAACCAGCAATCTTTTGATCATGGTTGAATTTAAGCACTGGTGTATCGATGGCACATTCAAAGTTGCGCTGACTTTATTCTTACAGTTGTCCACAGTTCATGTACTGATCGATAACAAAGCTGTTTCAGTAATTTATTACCTCATGCGTAATAAAAAAAAGAGAACTATAAGAGGATATTCTCCCGATTAGTTTATTTGGAGCCGATTTTGAGCCCTTCTTCTGTATTATGAGATTCTGAATTAGCATCAATGAATGCAGTAAAATGTACAATTCCGAACGCTGGAGTTGTTGGTTGTTTGTTTCATCTTTCCCAAAATTTGTGGAGAAAAATACAACAATCAAAACTCACCACAACATACAGATCAGATGAAAGTTTTAGAGCTCGCTCCAAGATGCTTCTAGCATTGAGTTTTGTTCCTGAAGTTGACGTCCAACGAGTATTTGATGCAATCGCACATAATCAGGATTCCTCATCCTCTGAAGAATTCGCTTCATTGTTGGAATATTGGGAGATAAATTACGTAGGAAGAAAACTAATAAAATTGAAAGCTCGTTACTACTTGGAATTGATTTCAACGCATACAAAAAAATTTGCCTAGAACAAATAACTCTGTGGAAGCTTGGCACAATTCGTTCCAACATTCATTGGATTGCCATCATCCATCGCTTTATAAATTGATTAATCATCTGAAGAAAGAACAGAATCAGGCTGAAATTTTCATCACACGCTTCAAATGTGGCTTCAGACATGGAATGGGAAATAATAGCAAATATGTGCAGCAGACTTGAAAGATTAGTGAGAAATTATAACTTCGACCAAATTGAAGATTACTTGCAGTCTATTGCCTACAACTTGAGTATTTGATTTTCATGTTCAAAGACGTGTTTGTTATAGTCCAATGAAGAGTTGAATGGAATATGCTTTTCATGATTTCTAGTCATTTTGGAATAAGCGCTATTTAGTTGCAGCGCTATTTTGTTACAGCGCTATTTTGTTACGCGCTGTTTTGTTACAGCGCTGTTTTGTAACGCGCTGTTTTGTTCGCGCTGTTTTGTCACACGGTGTTTTGTTACGCGCTATTTCGTTGCAGAGCCTACTAACTTGATATCGTTATCTGTTGGATTATGAATTTCTACGAGCGCTGTGTTATCTTTAACATGTGTTAGAGTTTCAGGTATTTTACAAGATAGAATTTCTTGGGACTGAATAAGCACTTCACCTTCTTTGTGGTCAACTGGAATTTTCGCAGATATTTTAGTTCGCCTAGGAATCACTTTTTCGAATAAAATAACAGGGTTGGACTTGAAAAATTCAATAGGGATTGTAGAGTTTCGGGTGTTGATCTTATTATTGGTCAAGTCTAGATTTGATTCGAATGATTTCAAGTTATCTACGCCTAATAATCCATCAAAAACATTATGGAATTTATACAGGAAGAATTTAATTTTCTTGTTAGTTTGGAATTCATTGAAAGCAGTGATCTCCATAGCGAGTTTATGTTGTGAGGTATTGAAACATGTGGAAACTGAGAAGGGTTCTTCATATATGAAATCTGAAAAATATTTATTTGCTATGTTTGGGTCTAGGAATGATCGGGTAGAGCCGGTATCTATCAGTAATTTCAGTGGTGGATTATGGATTTTGATGAATGGTAATACTCTCTCATTGGTGCTATGTGATTCGAACACTACGTGAAATCCGGTGGGTTGGTGGCTTCGGGAAAATTTTCGGATTTCTCCCGATTCTCATATGAGTCTTCGAAGTTATAGCCTACGGCACCTTCTTCGGAGTTATCGAAGAAGTCTGAATTCTCTTCGGGGTATTCAATTTCGGGATAAAACTTTGTTCAGTACTGAATAATTCCTGTGAGGAAGGGTTTCGTCGTTGTTGAGTGGTTTGTGATGGTCCGTGTGATATTCCGCTCATGAGGGTTGGACGAAAATTATTGGTTTGTCTTGGAAGATTCTTCCAGACATTTTGCGGGCGACCAAATACCTGGGTATTCGTGAAAAAATTTTGAGGTGGGCGATTGACTGGTTGGATAGGTATAGGTGCACTAGGAAAAGCGGGACGTTGGTTTTGATTGAAATTTGGGTTCGAGTTCTGGTTAGAATTCGAGTTAAAATGCGGGTTGAAGTTATACCTCGGAAAATTTTGATATGACTGGTTGAAATTTTCTTGTTTAGGGTGGTTCTGATATGTGAGTCGTTGCATAGTTTTGGGGCGAGATGAGTTATTTTGGTATTTCACAATCGAATTATTTCGTGGGTTCTGCAAATTGTAAATATTGATTTCGTCGTTGAGCATAGTCAATGCTTGGGGCAAGGTCGTGGGATTTCTGGCTCTAACTCTGGCACTGAGGGGGTCCCTCAAACCGGTAAGGAAAACTCTCAGTGTTTGGTCTGTAAAGAGATTGCGTTGACTTGCTTTCTCAATTTCGTTTTGGTGTATGTAAATCAATATTGTTACAGATTGTGTTGAGCATATGTATACAACGAGAATAACATTGTTGTGGGGAATCTTGATCCTGTCTTAATGCCATCAAATTCTGTATCAATGTGTTGGGATCTCTCTGATCGCCGAAATTTTGGATCAATGTTTCTCGAATTTCGTTCCAGGTTGAAGCGTTATAAATATTGACTACTTCAAGGGCAGAATCTTTCAGTTTGGAAAATATTGTATTAGTAATCAGTATGTTCTGAGGACAAGCGGGATTTGCCTCGTCATAATAAGTTGCGGTTATTTGAGAAACTGTTTTAACGAATCTGACAAGTCCGATCGGGTTCCCATCATTATCGGGAATGGTTTTTAAGAGATCTGAATTAACTATTGGGATTGGCATTTTGAATGCTTTTGTTGTTAGCTTTTACGTATAATATAAGGTAATTGTTGGGGGATATTATAGGGATATTATATTATAAGTGATACTCTGGAGCACAGAGGAGTCTGACCGTATGAATGAATATGTACTCACAATAAAACCAATAAAACCATTATCTGTGGCGATGGCTTCTTCCTTGGGCTGCTACTTGGGCTGCTCCTTGGGTTGCTTCTAGTAATCCTTCGTAACTATAAACCTCCGGATCCTCGATGGAACGATGGTTCGCGATTCCGGATTAACAGTTGATACTGCAGAAGTGTTTTTCGATAAACGCACGACTTTCGGAATCCTACCGACTGCGCCAATTATATTTATCGATACTCGAATACCCTTTTTAAAAAGAATTTATTTCGACATCGATTCAATAAACTGATACAAAATTATTAAGTTCAAACTTTACAATACGGATGCTACAATCAGACTGATGCTTTCCTGGTTCTTCTAGGCGAAGTTGGATAAAAGCGTGGTCAGCACTCTTCTCGGGAGAAACAGCAAGGTTGCATTTCTCTACAACATAATTCGCCCCACGAGCAGCGAGCCAGACGGCAATATCACCTTGCTGTGGTGCTATATGGCTAGTTACGGATAACACATTTTAGTCGAAAGACATTACTAGTTACTGGTTCTCAGAGGATTAAAATCATAGCTGAGACCCTACTATATTTATTTAAAGAATGCCTCAGCGTGTTCAAATCCAACTTTCAAAAACGCATATTTTTTAATAAAGTTACCATGGCAACACACGGCAATCAAGCATCAACGACCCGAGAAAAGTGAAATGCGTTTTGCTTATACGATTCTGCTATCTGAATCACTTCAATGTGTTGTTTTATTTGCAACTTTTCCGAACCGGTTGCTATTTTCTCACTACAAGGAATGACGTGGAATGACTGTAGAGAGTTGTCAAAAAATGAAATTAGATTGATGAAAAACAAAACTATTTTGAAGTAGAAGACATTTAAAAGGAATTTTCGTCATGAGGTTCACAAGTTTATGATTCATTCAAGTAGGACAGGTTTCATATCTTTATTGCCAGATGAAATAAATTCAGTCGATCTCAGATAACTTTCTCGAATCACCACAATCAGTGGTTCAAATATGTGTTGATTCATTTTCTTGATTATTAACTCTAGTCTTCTGATTTTGAAATTATTTGGAGCTCCAATATATAAATATAACCTCTATCATTTATACTATGTCAATTCTCTCTGGAGTTTCTCGTTTTATTTGTGAACGTCATTCTGTTCCCACCACCGTTTCCAGAATTGAACAAATGAAACGCAATTGTGAAGTCTGATGAATGTCAACGTTTTAATTATCAAGGACGACAGGAGTACCATGTAACATGTAACGTCAAATTACATATCACTAACCAATGTTCAACCAATTTACATTATGTTATTATCATAAAAGAATCTGACAAATCTAAGAAGCTGTCGAAGAGTTATGACCAAAAAAAGGTTTTGTCAAATCTCATGATTCATCCTATATATTGGTGAAGAAGATAGAAATACACTTTCTGATGGACATTAGGTATTCTCCCCAGGGGTCTCTATTCGTGGTTGGAGTATGTACAGTTCCTCATGACTCACCCTGTATATGGTATCAGTGAATGAGAATGTACACGTTTCGTTATTTATGCGGCAACTTTATTCTGTTCTTGACATTGAGCCTTGAATATCCTGGAAAATAGAGGAAAACACACCTTTTAATAATACAGTATACCAGGTGACAACAATATATGGTACGCATATAGGTATAGGTACACGATTTTCATAATGTAACATGTAATCAGAGTATGATATTGTGTTTCATTCAAATGGAAGTCTCATTTTAAAGTATGAAAAAATCGAGGGGTTAATAACTCTGTGAAATGGTAAAACACGTTGAAATGAAATACTAGTGATGTACATTGAAATGCCTGCGTAATACGGAATACTTCTGAATTGTTGTGAAATACTCTGAGTTGGTTGTGAAATACTTTGAAATGATTGTGAAATGAAGAAAATTGTTGTGAAATAGCTTTAAATGATCATAAGATACCTCGTGAAATACTTTCTAATCGTTGTGTAATAATTTGTTATACTTTTGAAATTTGCCTGAAATACTTTGAAATGCCTGACTACCTTTTCGAACCAATCAGAATTTTTGCGCCAAAGGGCCATATTTGTGCGACCACCAATAATATTTCGTTGCCATATCTTCGTGTGTCACAATTTCATTCATTTCGGCCATTTCGGGGCTTCCTGATCACGCCCTTGAGTTAGGTTTGTTCCAGGAATGCGTTTTCATATGAATTTAAGTGAAGTTGTTCAAGGATTAAACATTTTTCGAGTCAAGTGTGATCTGCTTCTGAACAAATTCAATTCGTAACTTAGAATATCATGCGAGAAATGAGGTCACCAGTGAAACAATTGAAATTCTATGTAACTGACAATGTTGCCAAAATGCAATCATTCCTTGATATGTAACGGTTCGATAAACAATCTGTATATTCCGACCTCGTACCATAAATATAGGCTTGTTCCCGTTCGAAAAATAAACAGTCCCAGAACATCGGAAGCATGCGCAGTTCCACGGAACATGGCCAGTTGAGTAGAATAACAATTGTTTCACTGTGGTGGCCAGTGTTGCCAGGTCAACCGTTTTTGCGCTACATCTACAGTTTTGATAATGTGACCGTTCTACCGCAGAGCCTCAATACCCAATCAGCACAAATACGTCCTATGGACGTTTTAAAAACGTCCACTCTGGACATTCAGGACGTTTTGGGGACGTCCATTTCCGGACGACGGACGTCTTATGGACGTTTTGGGGACGTCCATTGTTAATAATCAGGATGTTTTGGGGACGTCCAGTTTAGGTCCAGACTAGGACCTTTTTGGTATGAAAAATGGACGTATTGAGGACATTCAGATAATATTGATTATCCATTTTCTGACCCATCTGAAGAGTGAAATACTTGAATATTAGTTAACATTTATTCGCAAACAATAATATGAACAGAGATTTAGGTAGTTATGTTTCAATTTCACTCTTCCATATCGTATATCAGCAGCTGCACCACTAAAAACGTCGCGTGATTCATCCAGTTACGCAGGCGCGATGATGTCTTTTTCTGATTGGCAGCCTTCTGCTGTTGTCTTCTTCACTGGATCTGTAAATAATAATAATAATATTCAATAACATCTTTTGTGAATACCATGAACCATAAACACACACCCACTTTCAATGTGTAGTAATCAGTATAGCTTAATACTTCATTATTTTTATTCCATTGAGAACTTATTGCAAACATAAACTGATTCTTATCTAGGTACCTATGTATAACCTCTTTGAACCTTGCACGAAATATATTATTTTTTAACTATATACAAAAATATAAACTTTTGTAGATGATGGAAATAGGATTAGGTAGAGCTTTGCATGAAATCAAATTATATAGAAAGGTACCGTAGAATGGGGTGACTTGAAATCGTGTGGTGACTTGAAATAAAATGCAGTGAAAATTTTGAAGTAGTGGCAACGTCGCATGTCAACGGAAGAAGCTAAACTAGTCTTTCAGTCTAATGATTTTTTGTTTATTTTTGTAGTTTTTTATCTTTTTTGTATTTTGCTGAAAAATATTTGTTCTAAAACACAGTGTTTTTTTATGAAATTGATGATTTCTATATATTTTTTATTTAATTTTCATTTCATGTCACCACCTAGACCATCCTACTTGAAATAATCGTTGATAAGAAGTCATATTTCAAGTCACCCCATATTGGGGTGACTTGAAATATGACGTTTGACATTTTTTTTTTCGAAAACTACACTATATAGAAACGGTTTTAATGTATCGTTCTGTTCTTTAGGGTCGAAAGAGTTGGTGACTATTTTTAGTTTGGTTGAAAGTTGCATGGTAAGGTCGCAATCTATGGAAGTGTGTCAAAAATCTTATCAAGTCACCCCATTCTACGGTATCTAATGTTTTCAACTCCAGATTCGATGTTCTTTCTCAAGCACCTTCGAGCGAATGAAAATAAAACGAAAGCGTCGATAGCCATACTTGCCTTCATGCTGCTGTTAGCACAAAACATCTCAATAGAAGTCGAGTTCGAAGTTCACCAGTTGAAAGATGATATCCGCAAAGATTTCACTTATTCACTGCTTTTACAGTCAAATAACCCGAAAAGTTCAGAATGTCCTTGGACCTGAATCACAGTTTAATCGGCACTCGGCAGTGGTCAACTGACGAACGCCATCTTCCCATTTCGTTTCACGTAACACGCACATTGTTGCCGGATGAAAATTTGTCGGAGCAGTAGATGGGTGAGGAAAAAACAGTAGATCATCAAAACTGAACAGAAGATTCTGATTATCATCATAATTTGCTATTATAAATAAAAAAACATAGTCACCTATATAATAAACGAAAAAAAAATCATGTTCTGTCTCTATTATACCTAATAAAAATCGAACGAAGAATAACAAAAAATAATGAAATAAAATATGTTTGTAAAAACCGCAACCAGATTGAAAATAAAAGCTAATTTTTACTAATCAGACTGAATATGATAGTTGCAGTATATTTTTATCATATGTCTTCTTACTGTGATGTCCCATTAATTTTTCATTGTTGCATATTAGGTAGTTATGTTGTATCAAAACATGACCAATCAGACCATTGCCTTGAATAGTTGAACAGTGGAACGGAGACAAAAACAGTAGATCTACTGCTAAAATAGTAAGTCTGGCAACGCTGAGCACGCATGCGTTCTACGGTATGAATACTTCAGTGTGGGTTTAAGAATGGTCAAACTGTATAGGTATTATGTGATTGAAGTAATATAAACATAACTATATAAGTAGGTACAAATCAGTTAAAATCATCAATATTTCAAATTCATAATATTAATAATAAAATGAAATATATTATATTGATACAGCTGATATACAAGGTGTTTCTAAAATAGGTGGTCAAACTTTGGGAGCATATAGAGTGGGTGAAATAGTTACGAAAACCTCCGTAACATTTTTTTCTGAAGTGACCCCCAAGAAAGATACAGCCCCTCAAAGGGGGGCCTCGGAGAATGATTTTGTATTATTATCTCCAACACCTTGTATAATGAAAATCTGAAATTTTGTCCATCCACTTACTATTCAGTGCCGGTTCGAATGGAGTTGAAATCATCTCAAAATAAAATACGGGGGTGTGTAAAAATAGGGAGGTAGGGGGTAAAAATAACCCCAACTTTTTTGTTCATCGCAATTTCAGTTTTTTGACATGAAATTATGAAATCTCAGGGCTATTTACATAGAAAAGGTGCTCTTGTTGCATCTCGATAAAATGAACTATTAGCGAATAAAATTTAAAAAAAGGTCGTTTTTAACAAAATTTTTTATTTTAGTATTTTCAATAGGATCAGACCATAATCACGAAACTCGTCGTCTATTTTTAATTCATGAATTCCGACAACGAATTCAAAATTTCCAACCCCAAAAACCCTTACAAACCAATTTTGAAAAGTTGGGGTTATTTTTACCCCCTACCTCCCTATTTTGACACACTCCTGTATTTAATTTTGAGGTGATTTTAACTCCATTCGAACCGGCACTGAATAGTTAGTGGATAAACAAAATTTTAGATTTTCATCATACAAGGTGTTGAAGATAATAGTACAAAATCATTCTCCGAGACCCCCCTTTGAGGGGCTGTATCTTTCTTGGGGGGCACTTCAGAAAAAAATGTTACCAAGGTTTTCGTAATTATTTAACTCACACTATATACTCCCAAAGTTTGACCACCTATTTTAGAAACACCTTGTATAATATATTTCTTGACATCATTCATGTCCATATTCAAATCAATAATTCCAATTTTGAAATTAATAAATACCTACCTACTTAATTATATTAATTTAAACTGATATACCGTGAGAGTCTGTGAATTGGACGTTTTAAAGACGTCTTTTTCTGGACGTCCGGAGTATGTCCAATAATGGACGTCTTAAAAACGTCCATTAAAGGTCCTGGACGTTCAGACCAAAAATGGACCTGAAATGGACGTCTTCGGGACGTCCCGTGCTATCTGGGTATCTACCCCTCAAAATTTCATTCAGACTTTCAAATTCATTTAAACCCTAAAGAAATTTTGATTTCATTTTCATGTTAATCAAACATCAATTTTCTAATTAAGTTCATCATGAAAAAAAGTTATTTATTGACAGCAACCTCGAAAATTACTGTTTTGTTATTGCGTTTTCATGCTGTTTGAAATTAGGTTACTTATTCCTCGCGAACTTCCACGGTAACTTCCTACAATATTGTGAAAATCATTCATAGAAATGCTTTTGAAATCGTTTGAAACACCTTGCTTGTGGAATTCTCTCAAATGCCTGTGGAATTCTTCAACGATCCTGTGAAATTTTTCAGAATACCTGTAAAACACTTTGAAATATCGTGAAATACTTTGAAATGCTGTGAAATACTTCGAAATGCTGTGAAAAGCTGTGAAATGGTTGTGCAAGGTTCGAGCCAAGTCGCGCAGACCTAGGCCCGGCTAGACCCGCGCCGTGGACCGACCCGACACGGGCTTGAAGCATGCAGCGTACGAAGCGGGGCGAGCCAATTCATTAAAAGGCGGGGCGGACCGATTCATAAGAGTGAGCGCGCGACAGGCCATGTGGGTTGCGCGAGC